TAATGTCTTAAAGCTAATTACATCTTTGGCTCATTGGACATGATAAAAGACAAACACTATTTGGGTCACAGTTTATTAGACTCGGGAGAGGAAAAAGCTCCTGCAAACTAACACGCAAGGTTTTTCCCAAGTATTTGGAAGAGAAACCATCAAAAAAATCTCAAGGCAATCAGCTAGGCTGGAAGTTGTTGACAAAGGCCACAGCCACAACTTCCATTGCTACCAAAAACAAAACAACAAAAACAAAAAAACCTGTCATGATGTTATACAGGTAGTCCTCGACTTACAAAAGTTCATTTAGTGACTGTTCGAAGTAAGAAAGGTAATGGAAAAAAGGGACTTATGACCGATTTTCGCTCTTAACGACCGTTGCAGCATTCCTCCGTGGTCACATGATCAAAATTCAGACCCTTGGCAACTGGTTCATATTTATGACGGTCGCAGTGTCCCCCCCCCTGTGATCCCCCTTTTGCGAACCTCTGGCAAGCAAAGTCAATGGGGAAGCCAGATTCACTTACTAACCTAAGAACTGCAGTGATTCACTTACCGACGGTGTCGAGAAAGGTCCTAAAATGGGGCAAAACTCTCTTGACAAACCTCTCGCATAGCGACAATAAATCCGGGGCTCAAAAGTCGAGGAATGTCTGTAAACGAAACCCTGGGAGCTGAGCTGAGCTTGCAGGAGGTTTTAATATTGTTTACACAATACCACTCTTCCCTACAACGCAATTGCTCTTGGATAAAAGCCACTATTTCAAAATTTTGCTTCCATTCCAGCACATCTTGTTCCAACGAGTGGGAGTAGTAAAATGTTATAATTGTGGGCGGTTGATTTTCTCTCTCCCTCTCTCTCTCTCTCTCTCTCTCTCTCTCTCTGTGTGTGTGTGTATGTGTGTGTGTGTGTGTTGTTGTTGTTGGTCGGCTTAATAGCAGAACATGTTTTTTCTTTCACCTCTTTTTTTTTTTTAAAGATGAATATTTTGAGCCAAAAAAAGCAGTTCTTTCTTTCTCTTGGAGGCTTAATTGTCAAAGGGGGAGCCCAGGGTTTGGTTTTTTTTAGTCCTAAATTCAGCGGAATAACGCCTTTGCAAAGAGTATACAATATGCTTTTAAGAACGCAGAAGTCTAGCTGAGCAGCTTTGCCCTGTTTGGAGAAAGATTGGCATGATCTGAGTTTGGAAGGTTTAAATTTTTAATGGCACTTGTTCATTAAATCGGACCGCGGATCGATAATAAATGATCTGGCCAATAAGAAAGAAGCTCGCTGCAACAGAACTGCACATCCAGCAAACTTTGCAGCAGAGGGGGGGGGAGTACACACACACACACACACACACACAGACACACACACACACAGCCCATATGGTCTCCCGGTCTTTGATATTCAGGATGTGTAAAAGCCCAGGGAGGAGGGCCCCGCAGGTAATAATTTTCAGGAGAGAGAATTGCTGCTTTGGAATTTTAATAGAGGCGAAAGATGTGATTAATTAAAATTTGTGCGCTTTCAAAATGTTCTCCCGGGCCCAGTGTGAGTGAACTTGCTTTAATGTCGGGTTTTTTTTTAAAAAAAAAAACCCAGGATGGAAATAATTCAATACCTAAACATGTACCAAATGAGGGGGGGGGGTAAGGTGGGGCTAAAAGGCAATTACAATGCAAAGGTGGGGCAGGTGTACAATCGCACATATCCTTCTTAGCCACATTTTCCCCGATCGTGGTGGGTAACCGATCAAAGACGTAGGTGAACCCCAGGGTCGGATCTGTCCACATTTCTTCCTTGAAGACGTTTTACTTCTCATCCAAGAAGCTTCTTCAGTTCTGACTGAACGGTGGAGGACGGAAGGATTTATATTCCTGGCAGTCGTCTGCTCATTCGTACTCTTTCTGAGAATCGTTGAGGCCACGTGGAGGTTTAGCTCTGCCTTCAGGGTCACCTCCATGTGATTTGAGCCAGGCTGCGTGCAAGGTTGCATCTACTGGGGTCAGTGGCCTACACAATTTCCTTCTCTTGTAATGCTTATAGCAAGGAGTGACCAGTATATTTTTTTTTCTGCAGTGGAAACGCATAAATCGAACCCTGCCAGGCAATCCACGAGCTTGCAGCAGAACGATAAGTTCCAGTTTCATAATCGTTTGTCAGTCAGTTAAAGAGGGTGCTTTTCATGGAGCTGATGAATAATTGCACCCCGTGCATAAAAAAACGGGGATGGGTGATTTAAAGCCATTTAATGTTCCTGTCCCCATTGTAAAATGACTCCATTAGAGAAGTGGTACTGATTACTTCCCTGCTTTGAGCTGAATATATCAACATGCCTTTCTTGGTTGTCAAACTGTTGATCAAAAACCATTTTCACTGATCCTTCAAAAATCCAATGAGTCTGGCATCCAGGGCAAAAGAACATAGGATGATCTAAGAAGCTATCTAAAGTCTTCTAGTTCTCCAGGATAAGAGCAAAAGATGTTCTAGAAAGTTATCTAAAGTTTTCTAGTTCTCCAGGATAAGGTCAGAGACTGATCTAAAAAATTACGTAAGGACTTCTAGTTCTCCAGGATAAGAGCAAATGATGATCTAGAAGAGGGGTAGTCAACCTTGGCTCTTTTATGACTCGTGGACTTCAAGTCCTGGAATTCCTGAGCCAGCTGTGCGAGTCTTAAAAGAGCCGAGGTTGACTATCCCTGATCTAGAATGTTATTTGAAGTCTTCTAGCTCTCCAGGATAAGAGAAGAGGGTGATCTAGATAGTTAGCTAAAGTCTTCTAGTTCTCTGGGATAAGTGCAAAGGGTGATTTAGAAAGTTGTTTGAAGTCTTCTAGTTCTCCAGGATAGGAGCATAGGGTGATCTAGAAAGCTATCAAAAGTCTTCTAGTTCTCTGGGATAAGAGCAAAGAATGTTCTAGAAAGTTATCTAGTCTTCCAGTTCTCCAGGATAAGAGCAGAGACTGATCTAAGAAGTTATGTAAAGACTTCTTGTTCTGGGTGAGGTGTAACTTTCAAGGATGTGGGCTAGTTGACCTCTCAATTGACAATTCTTAAAATTTTCAGATCTCAGTTAAAATGCACAGAAGACACCTCTAGCTTTTTAAAAGCGAGAGTGGTCCATGTGTGGGGATCCAGATGCAAAGGCTCCAGAAGTCATCTTTTATTATCAATGGCCATAGTTGTGAAGGTCAATAGGACAGCATTTGGAACTCTTTGCCTCATGATAAATTTATTTATTTTGGGGTCTTTGAGCTAGTCTTGACTTCTGGCAACTGACTGGACAAGTCCCAGCAATTTTCTTGGCAGGATTTTCGAAGTGGTTGACTTGATTTTTTTCTTGCTTGGATTGACTGGCCTAAGGTCATGCAGCTGGCTTTGTTCCTAAAGCAGGACTAGAACTCACAGTCTCCCACTTTCTAGCCTGCTGCTTCAACCTCTACACCAAACTGGCTCTGTCTCATGGTAAAACATACACTCCCAGTCCCTGAGGGAGCTTACAAACCATTCAGCACTCAACTAGCATGGTCAATGCTCATTCTGGCCGTGAACACCGGGGGGCTGTTATATTCCTCAGACATCTGAAACATATTCTTGAAAAATATTCAAGAGCAGATATTGCTCTTGGCTTAGATGAACTCTCTGTGGACAGCATGGTGGTGGATGAGAAGGTCATCTAGGACACCTTCTTCGCAATCTCCTCAAGAGACCCAGTGGGATGTCTTGAGGAGGAGCATCAGCATGATTGGATTAGGTACAGATGAGGAAACAGATTTCATCTGTTAGAGAAACAGCTGTGAATCTTGGCACATCACGTCAGCTTGTTTTCCTATTAGAAGCCCAAGGAGAATCTCCCTTGGGTTGAGGTTGACTTTGAAGGAGCCCAGAAACATCTTGTTTACTTGGCTGTGGCATGACCGTGGCTCCCTGTCGCATTCTTAAAGGACACGTTTTTCAACCTTTTGGTCCAACGTTCATAGGGTTCCCGTGGTCCTGCATCCAAATGCAGAATGTCAGGGCTGGGAGGGACCTTGGAGGTCTTCTAGTCCAACTCCCTTGCTCAAGCAGGAAACCCTGTAGACTTTTCAGGATCAACCAAGGCCCTTCCCAGCTCTCCTTGTCAGACCTGCCCCAGTGTGACCTCCTAGGAAAGTAAAACTCTCGACTCCAGTTGGTTGGAGTGAAAAAGGCACTTTTACTAAGAGAGGCTGATTGCAGTAGAGTCAGGCAGAATCTGAAGTTCCTGCGCATCAGTACAAAGCTAACCCTTTGGTCCCCCCTCCAGACCTCCCCCTATAGTCCGTCCCTGTGTGCCCAATCTGGCACCGTTGAGATATTTTGGGTAGCGCTGAGGTGTTTGGGCTGGTGAAATTCCGTTCTCAGGGGACGCGGCCTTGAAGACACTGGCAAGGACCAGATCCCAAAATTCTCCATTCTTCCTCAACCATCAATTCCCTCTCCCAATTTCCCACCACAAAAATATATGGCTTTCTTGCCCCTTTGTTCTTCTCTCCCTTCCCCGGTTCATGGCAGAATGCCAGCGAGGTGCCAAACTGAAGGTGGTGGATCCTTGGTGTAGAAGGAAGAGACTTCATGATGAACCGCATTCATAATCACTATTTGTTTGAAGCCTTTTTCTTCTCAGAGAGATCAATTGCGCAACCTTCACCGAAACGTCCAGAACTGTAGCAAGGCTTGTTCGATTGGGACTGCCATTCAAAGGACCTGGATTTAATTTATATGCCGGCTAAGGCCAAAGGAACCTCGGTATAAATAATGTTATGTTTTTGTTCCCTTCTGATTTTACACAGAATGTTATTAGCAATCTCCTTCTGGAACCAGTTTTCTCTTATGTACCGTATAAATCAATCAAATCATTCATCCTCCAGCTACGGTGCCTTATTATCCTCATTGCAACCCATAACATGTAGAGAGTGCTGTTAGGTTTTCTTTTGCTTAAAACAAAAACCCTGAACATTACAGATGAACACAAGGGGTCAAAACCTGTTCTTTGTATCCTACAGATTGACAGCCAAGGCGGTTGCCGTTCTCCTACCCATCTTGGGAAGTTCATGGATCTTCGGAGTCCTGGCAGTGAATGACCGAGCTTTGGTGTTCCAGTACTTGTTTGCAATATTTAACTCATTGCAGGTATGTCCAGTTGGGTGTACACACCTTTCAAGATGCCATCATGGGTTTTGTTGTATCTAACGCAGTAAGATAACTTAATCGTTAAGCTTATTAACAGAGGGATGGAATCAAGATCACGTGAAGTGTTAATACCACTTTACAATGCCTTGGTAAGGCCACACTTGGAATTCGGCATCCAGTTTTGGTCACCACGATGTAAAAAAGATGTTGAGACTCTAGAAAGAGTGCAGGGAAGAGCAACAAAGATGATTAGGGGACTGGAGGCTAAAACATATAAGGAACGGTTGCCGGAATTGGGAATGTCTAGTTTAACGAAGAGAAGGACGAGGGGGGACATGATAGCAGCGTTCCAATATCTCAGGGGCTGCCCCAAAGAAGAGGGAGTCAAGCTATTCTCCAAAGCCCCTGAAGGCAGGACAGAAGCAATGGATGGAAACCCATCAAGGAGAGAAGCAACCTGGAACTAAGGAGAAACTTCCTGACAGCGAGAACAATTAACCAGTGGAACAACCTGCCTCCAGAAGAGGTGAATGCTCCAACACTGGAAATTTTTAAGAAGAGACTGGACAGCCATTTGTCTGAAATGGTATAGGGTTTCCTGCCTGAGCAGGGGGTTGGACTAGATGACCTCCAAGATCCCTTCCAACTTTATTATTATTATTATTATTATTATTATTATTATTATTATTATTATTATTATTATTATTCCACATGTGTATTATATTTGAATGCAACCAGTGGCATTGCTGGGGGACAAAATGGCTTACATGTTTTATCTAGTCAGGTGGAGCAATTGCCAAATCTTTAGCAGTGGCCTACAACCAATGTCCAGGGTGTGATGGCTCAGCGGTTAAAGATGCTGAGCTTGTCAGTTGATAGCCCGAATTTGAGTCCTGAGCTCCACACAATGGGATGAGTTCCCGTTCCTTGCTGCAGCTCCTTCCCATCTAACAGTTTGAAAACATGCAAATGTGAGCAGATAAATAAGTACTTCGGCAGGAAGGTAACAGTGCTCCATGTGCCCTTGGCAGATAGCCATGCTAGCCACATGACCACAGAGAATGTCTTCAGACAACGCTGGCTCACTCAGCCAAGAAACGCTCATGAGCACAGTGCCCTCACGTTGAACGTGACTGAACTTTACCTTTTACAACAAAAGTGCAAGATTCTCACGGTTTTCTTTAACGAGGTTTGTTAAAAGCGAAAAAGGGATCCCGTTGCAAAAATATTCCCATTGGGATATCTGTGGGGGTCCTTGATGCTCTCTGAGCTTGGTTGTTTTCTTGCAGATGTTTCATTGGCCAACTAGGAAACACCATCATGACTCTGGTCCAACCCCCTGCTCATGCAGGAAACCCTATACCATTTCAGACAAATGGTTGTCCAATCTCTTCTTAAAAGCCTCCAGTATTAGAGCATTCACATCTTCTGGTGGCAAGTCGTTCCACTGGTTAATTGTTCTCACTGTCAGGAAGTTTCTCCTTCGTTCTAGGTTGCTTCTCACCTTGATTAGTTTCCATCCGTTGCTTCTTGTCCGACACTGGCAATTAAGCCACCTGCCTTCTCCTAGCTACAGCAACTCATCAGCAACTCATCAACATATGATTTTGTTGTTGTTGTTGTTGTTGTACACTATTCATAGTCAACAGTTGTGAGCAAGGCCACTGACCTCATCAATCTTTCAATGTATATATACGTATTTCCTTCCTTAACTGTCGTAGTTCGAAATGTCCTTTCTGACTTTCTTTCTTTCTTTCTTTCTTTCTTTCTTTCTTTCTTTCTTTCTTTCTTTCTTTCTTTCTTTCTTTCTTTCTTTCTTTTTCTTTCTTTCTTTCTTTCTTTTTCTTTCTTTCTTTCTTTCTCTTTCTTTCTTTCTTTCTTTCTTTCTTTCTCTTTCTTTCTTTCTCTTTCTTTCTTTCTTTCTTTCTTTCTCTTTCTTTCTTTGTTTCTTTCTTTCTCTTTCTTTCTTTCTTTCTTTCTTTTTTAAAAAAATAATAATTTGATTTTATCATTTCAGGGTTTTTTCATCTTTCTGTTCCATTGCCTCCTGAACTCAGAGGTATGTTTCCATCTCCACCCCGTTCCAGGCAATAAAATCCAATGGATGCTGGAATAAGATTATCCTTATGCATCCCTTTCGTGGAAAAAAAAATACACATTGATTTAAAGTTTATGCCGTAACACAGCCATTACGTTAGAAGAACGGGGCCATTTAATTACAAGGCTCTAGGGAAAATATCTTTTCTTTTGTTACAGGACATGTATAGTTTATAGAATGGTATATTTAGCTGTCATCCCCACAATTTATGGCATTTTCAGAAAAGTAGTCTGTCAAGGACTCCAAGCGTTAAAACAAACAGCCACTGCTCATATACCAGGATTTTTTCGCCCCCCTGACTTTATTTTATCTGGTTAAATCAAAGCTCATGGTGTAGCTTAGTTCAGTTTGAAATATTACCACCCAATTATCCTCTGAAAATGCCAGAAGGGACTTCATTAATTATGTCAGGGGGTAACCATGTCAACTGTACTGAATTGGTGAACGGAATTTAATTTGGATTGCATTTATGAGCAAATTCAATCAAACGGAGTTTTTGCCCTACCCTTAAGCGCTTCTTTCTCCTGGCTGAGTCTACTTTTGAGAACACAATCATAGCCACAGCTAGGGCAAAGACAACTTCATGTTTCCAAGGTTGTGTAAACCCGGGATTGGCCACTCCATGGCCTGCAGGGTTTCACAGCCAAAACTTATCAGGGTTTTAAAGAAAATAGGAGGGAATCTGAATGCTGCAGATGAATATGTCACAAAGCCACTAGGATGTTTTCCGTTAGATGCAAAAATTGGAAGAACTTATAACTACGTCCTAAAGTTGCTCTTTCAAAAGGTAACTGGACTTTGCGTTTCCCTGAAGACGTTGCGCTTCTCATCCAAGAAGCTTCTTCAGTTCTCATCCAAGAAGCTTCTTCTTCAGAACTGAAGAAGCTTCTTGGATGAGAAGCGTCTTCAAGGAAAAACAAGGTCTAGTTGCCTTTTGAAAAAGCACCTTTGGGACCGCCATGATCTGGGATGACTGAGAATCTCCATATCTATGTTTTGGCAATTCCAGAAGTATGTCTATGGGGGTTCTCAGTCATCCAAGTTATGGTGGTCCCAAAGAGGCTTTTTCAGGAGGCCACTGGACTTTCTTGTTGTCCTTTGAAGTTTCACTTCTCATCCAAGAAGCTTCTTCAGCTCTGACTGGATGGTGAGGAATTCTTCAGTCAGAGCTGAAGAAGCTTCTTGGATGAGAAGCGAAACATCTCCAAAGGAAAACAAGAAAGTTCAGTTGCTTCCTGAAGAAGCACCTTTGGGACAATTCCAAAGGTAGCCAATGTGCAACCCAGATCCCCTGCCATTCTTGAGAGTTGAAGCCAAAACATCTGGAAAACCTCAGGTTGCTATCTCCCCAAGTTAATTACATTCCAGGGAAGTAACCAGGGGGCTTTCCTAAACTGGGAATTTATCCAGCCCTATGATTCTATTGTCCAGCTCAGGGGTCTTCAAACTTGACCCTTTTATGACTTGTGGACTTCAACTCCCAGAATTCCTCAGCCAGCGTGCCTTTTATGACTTGTGGACTTCAACTCCAAGAATTCCTCAGCCAGCGTGCCTTTTATGACTTGTGGACTTCAACTCCCAGAATTCCTCAGCCAGCGTGCCTTTTATGACTTGTGGACTTCAACTCCAAGAATTCCTCAGCCAGCGTGCCTTTTATGACTTGTGGACTTCAACTCCCAGAATTCCTCAGCCAGTGTGCCTGGCTGAGGAATTCTGGGAGTTGAAGTCCACAAGTCATAAAAGGGCCAAGTTTGAAGACCCCTGGTCTAGCTTTATGCCTTCACCACCACACCAAGCTGGCTTTGTAAACAGGTTTTAGCCCAACCTTATTCTTCTTGCCAACATGAACCGCCTCACCTGTGCCGAAGAAAGACGGTGAGAGAGAAATGTGCCTGGCTGAGGAATTCTGGGAGTTGAAGTCCACAAGTCATAAAAGAGCCAAGTTTGAAGACCTCTGGTCTAGCTTGATGCCTTCACCACCACACCAAACTGGCTTTATAAACAGGTTTTAGCCCAACCTTATTCTTCTTGCCAACATGAACCAATGCCGAAGAAAGACGGTGAGAGAGAAATGTCCTTCTCTGATTGTTCCCCTCCCTGGATGCAGCCCATCCTTCTTCTCCATCCCTTTGCCCACTTAGATCTCATTTCTCCTCCACTGCTGGTGAGCATCCCCGAAGAGAGACCGAAAGAATAGAAACAATTTCAGGTATTCATTAAAAGGTCATTTAGGTCCCGATTGGACAATAGGGGAAAATTATACACTGCTATTCTAAGAAGGCTGCTTCTGGCTGATATGGCAATTAAGACACGTAGGCGGATCTATTCAGCGTGTTCCTTTTTGATCCCTAACCCAGGAATTTCTAACCCACCAGCTGTCTCTCTCTGAGACCAACACAATTTCAGCCAAGCGTTGTTACAGAGCTACCGTGTATCTCGACATAATTGCTCTTCTGAACTGTCAATGGCAATATTTGCAATGCAAACTTCCCCATCTGGGCTCAGCTGGGGGTATCACAGCTGGAGCTACATTCAGCTGGAGGTGTGCTGTCTAAGGACCAATTCACTGGAATTAATTTGATTTGAAGGGTTGAGGCAGGGGTAGGCAACCTTGGCTCTTTTATGACTCATGGACTTCAACGCCCAGAATTCCTGAGCCAGCATGGTTCTGCTTGGAAACCTCTCCCTTTCCCCTCAGCATGGCTGGCTCAGGAATTCTGGGAGTTGAAGTCCAGAAGTCATAAAGGGAGCCATAGTTCCCCCATGCTGGCTCAGGAATTCTGGGAGTTGAAGTCCACGAGTCATAAAAGAGCCAAGGTTGCCTACTCCTGGGTTGAGGGATAGGTAGGTTGGATGAATGGTGCCGTTTCAGATATCCGTGACACGTGAGTTCTGCAGAAGCACTTAGAGCAGACATGTCAAACACAAGGCCTGGGGGCCAGATACGGCCCGCGAAGTGGTTTCATGTGGCCCGCGAAGCCATCCTGGAAACAGTGAGGGAACGGCCTCCGCTGCCTTGCCCCTGGCCCAGGCCAGCCAGGAGCCAATGTACAATTTTGTGGTGGCCATCTATGCTAAAACGCATTCAGTCTTAGCTCCACAAGGCCGTCTGGAAACAGCGAGGAACCAGCCACTGCCGCATCGGCCCCGCCCCCTGGGTGCATGGTGGGGAGGTGTCACCCTTTGTGAGGAATGAAGAAATGGACCATGCCTTGGCGCTTGCCCCGGTCCCACCCCCCTTCTGCCAGAGACCCTCGGATCTGTCCCACTCCTGCCCAGGCCCCCACAGGCACCCTTGACGCAAACGATGTAGAGCTGGCCACGCCCACCCAGTAGGCCACACCCACTCCATCCACGCCACCCAGTAGGTCGCACACACCCTGACCACACATACACACACCCCCCCGAGGGCAACCACAATGCTGATGTGGCCCTCAATGAAATTGAGTTTGACAACCCTGACTTAGAGCCTAATGGTGAAATTCCATTTTTTTTCCTGGGGTTTGGAAACAGGACAAAGGTGGAGAAGAATGATCAGGATGGGAAGCTTCCTGGGAGAATGCTTTGTTTCATTGCCTTAGTCACGACAGCTAATCCTTGACTTATTGTGACCATTTGGTTAGGCACCACTCAAAGTTACAAAGGTGCTGAAAAAGAAAAAAAGGAAGGGAAAACCAATCAACCTGATGGAAAAGCCAGGGAATTGAGACTTCCAAAGTAGCCTCAGGAGCTCATATCTCCCTAACCTGGGACATCTTTCTCTTCCCTGTCAAGGTCAGAGCCGCCTTTAAGCACAAGACGAAGGTGTGGTCACTGACCAGCAGTTCCATCCGCAACGTCAATGTGAAACCTTTCAATTCTGATATTGTAAGTATTGCTAGAACCCCCTCCGTCTGGTCTCTTCCTCCAAAAATGAAATATGAAAAGGTCCTTTTTCCCACCCTCAGCCTCCCCCAGCGTGTTCTGTTCCGTACCTACCTGCTGGTTTCAAATCATTACTGTTGATGATTCAGAATAACAGAGCTGGAAGGGACCCTGGGAGGTCTTTTAGTCCAGCCCCTGGTCAAGCAGGAGGCCCTATATACTGTTCCAACACTTAAATCCAGTTGGGAACCAATCCAGGTTTATTCCAATGACACTGGAGGTTTTTAAGAAGAGATTGGACAACCATTGGTCTGAAATGGTGTAGGGTTTCCTGCCTGAGCAGGGGGGTGGACTAGATGACCTCCAAGGTGCCTTCCAACTATTCTATTCTATTTTATTCTATTCTATTCTATTCTATTCTATTCTATTCCATTCCATTCAATTCCATTCCATTCCATTCCATTCCATTCCATTCTATTCTATTCTATTCTATTCTATTCTATTCTATTCTATTCTATTCTATTCTATTCTATTCTATTCCTGTTCTATTCATTCTATTCTATTCTATTCTATTCTACTCTACTCTACTCTACTCTACTCTACTCTACTCTACTCTACTCCACTCCACTCCACTCCACTCCACTCCACTCCACTCCATTCTATTCTATTCTATTCTATTCTGATTTCCACTCCCATGTTGACTTTGGCAGAGTCTCCCCTGGGGGAAGGTTGTTTCCATTGTAATTATTGGGAATGTCCATGCAACATGGCAACTTAAGTCAAGTAAAGACTGTTTAGATTGGGTAGGTTGAACCTTGATTATTATTATGTTTCTTTAAGCTCAGTGCTTTGGGCTAATCCATCCTATTTTAGAAGTTTATGAGTCAACATAATGGGCCAGCCCTTTAAATGGGTGAATTCAGTAGTTAAATAAATGTTGCATGAACATGGTCCTCTCGATCTGGTGGACCTGAAAAGGACTCATGGAGAAATGGACCATCGGGTGCTGCTACTCTAAATGGGCTGCATCAGAGATGAGGAGCTCATAGGTAGCATTGCTGAAAGAACAGTTCTTGAGGACCAGCCTAAAAAGAAGGCAGCCACTTTCTTATTATCTATGTTTGGGAGGTCTATCATATGATGCAAAAAGGTTCCAGTATTTCAAGGGCTGCCACAAGGAGGAGGGGGTCAACTTATTCTCCAAAGAACCAGAAGGCAAGACAAGAAACAATGGGTGGGAACTGAACAAGGAGAGAAGCAACCTGGAATTAAGGAGAAACTTCCCTAACAGTGAGGACAATTAGCCAGTGGAACAGCTTGCCACCAGAAGTTGTGGGTGCTTCATCACTGGAGGTTTTTAAGAAGAGACTAGACAGCCACTTGTCTGAAATGATATTATAGGGTCTCCTCTTTGAGCAGAGGGCTGGACTAGAAGAACTTCAAGGCCCCTTCCAGCTCTATTGATTGATAGATGAGTTTCATCTTGAATTCAAGAGTGTGTAGGTACAGAATATTAGCAATTTCTCAATGCTCCATCAATGAGGTGTCCGTGGTGCACTCTTGGTTGTTGGGTTTTGTTTTGTTTTTGCAGCCATTTCATTACCCAAACTAGATAACATCATCAGAGCTAGATAACAAACTAGGTAACATCATCAGTGCTCAGTAACAAACTAGGTAACATCACTAACATTGATGATGTTACCTAGTTTGGGTAATGAAACATCTGCAAGAAACAACCAAACTCAGAGAGCACCATGAGCTACAGATATTCTCCTTTATTGCTCCATCAATTATCCAAACTCTTTCTTTCTCAATCCAGATAACTGTGACCAGGCCTGCCACAACGCCAACCAAACTCAACACTAATGACAAAAGCAGTGATTCTGGCAACAAGATGGATCTTTCCGCTGTCTGACATTGACCCTTGTTGACTCTTCCTTCCAAATACCCAAACAAACCATGTCCTCGGGATCTTTGATTCATTGCCTGACTACCTATTACTCTCTGAGAATTCACTCCTCTTTACTTCCTTCCTGCTAAATTGAGGAGGGGCAGAGTTGCCCATTGGACTGAATCCATACTTCCAGCTTTTTCTCCTCTGGGCTGGGAGGACTAGCTACGGAATAGGCAAGGGACATTTTACACTGGATGGTCCTCTAAGCACTGGCAGAGATGAAGCTGAGGAATATTTGTGGGAAACAGAATTCCAGGAGGATCTCTGGATCCGCAAAGCTACATTTTCTCATGACCCTAACATTGAAGAACTCTTGACCGGCTCTACGGACACCTACACGTTAAGATAGTTGAAGGATACAAAGGAGAAGCTACACTAGGAAATGTCCAACTTCAAACACTGCCTTTGCAAACACTGCAGAAGCAAAGGTGATGGAATCCAGCTCTATTTTTTCTGATCTTGGCCTGGAGGCCAGCAGAAATAGCAGATGTTCTATTTGAGCCTCAAGTACTGTATATTTGCTTGGTGGCTCTCCGGATTTTCCTAACGCTGGTTGTGATGGACACCCAGAGCTTCATTTCATTGCAAGAAGCTTTTAACTCACCTGGGGGGAAAACATTTATATAGAACCCTCCTATTTTCCCAGATGAGATTCAGTGTCTCAGCCTGAATCCTGTTTGTAGACCGAGCGGATTTCTCCTTTGTTGAAAAAATCACACTTGCTTCGCTGTCCATCTTGCCAGACAGAACAAAACTTGAATGCCAAACAGCCACGTTCTTTCTTCCCCCCCACAAAGCAAAACGAAATAAAAAAGAAACAAGCAACCCACTTCCTCAGAAACGAACAAGACAGAAAAATGACTCTGAGGTGTCAGCCAGGCTGCAGCTGGAATTGTGTGATTATCCACGGATGTCATTTAAAAAAAAAATTTTTTTTATTCCTTTCTCCCGATAAGCAGACGAATGGTTTTTTGGTTTTTTTTTCCCCCCCAGCCGTGCAGCAATGCTGTAGCTTCTGCAAAGAAAATCAACATTTGATTAATTCAACCAAGGTCTCATCACCTCCCTTTAATGGATTTCGCTAGTAGAGTTCCTTTGCTGATCAAGTTCCAGGAACTTCCTAAATATAGTGTATCTCGGCAGTCTTAAGCACTAGAAGCTTGCTTTTTTAAAAAAAGGTGGAAGCAAACAGGACAAAAAGAGAGAGAGAGAGAGAGAAAGGTCATTGCTGCATGGAAGATCACAGGCTTTTCATGCTAATTCAAAGCCAAGCATGTCCAGACGAAGCTAGAAAGATCTTGTCTGGTGGCCTCAAGATACATTATCAAGTCATTGTAGAAAATAACCCAACTTGGTTGTCTATCTAATTTATCCTAGGATAGTTGATCTTTGTTATCCTGGCCATGAAAGGTAGGAAGGAGAGGCTAAACCAAACCAGAAATTCACCCCTTCAATTTATGAGACTAAAACATTGTAGCCCTATTACTTTCGGTCCTTCTTTGACATCTTGATTTTATGGAATTGTAGTCTCCATCTCAAGACCCATAACTTCCTGTCCTCCTTTGATTCCTTGATTTGATGGAGTGGTAGTCTCCCTCTCAAGTAACTTCATAGCCCCATAACTTCCTATTCTTCTTGCCTTCTTGATTTTATGGAATTGTAGTCTCCATCTCAAGACCCATCACTTCCTGTCCTCCTTTGATTCCTTGATTTGGTGGAGTGGTAGTCTCCA